CTCCCATTTGATGGTATCGTTAGCATCTAGTGTTTCGTTCAATGTCCAGTGCCGTATTATTTATTGAATCGCATCACAGGCTTTCCCTGTGGTATCTTTGCATCGCTCAGGTGAATCACATTTCATCGTCATTATTATCTTCAACATTTTGAAGACGACAACTATGACTCGCCGCTCAAATTCCTATTCCTACACAAAACACAAGCTCCTGCTGCAGTTGATAAATAACATTTATTATATAAGACCACGTAGTCCTATGTCACCATTGCGTACAACCCCATAGTCCTTGTAGTTTTTATTTTCTAAAATTTATACAATTATGAGCATAGAGGGAATATGTCATCACCACATCGATTCTACGCCCAGATGGTCAGAAAAAAGGTCTTGTGGATATACGGAATGGGGCCTCCCTTAGCTCAGTCGGTAAAGTCACAGCTACAAAGCAAGACCATGCTGGAGGTGGCTGGGTTCAATTCCCGGTCCCAGTCTAGGAATTTTCCGGGTTGGAAAATTTCTCGACTTCCCTGGGCATAGAAGTATGATTGGACTTGCCATACAATTATACCAAAGCAAAAATGGTACAGGCATCGAAAGCTCTCAATTAATAACTGTGGAAGTGCATCTGGAACACTAAGTTGAGAGCACGCAATAAGCTAATATGCGATATGCAATAAGCTTGAAATGCGAAGAAGAAGAAGAAGAAGAAGAAGAAGAAGAAGGATATCCGGAATAACCGGGAAGAGAAAATGGTCCATTCCTTTAACCCATAAAAACCCGGAACCAAACTTTTTATTTTCAAAAATTTGTATCCCATCCACAGGACCTCTTTTAGGCCATCAGCGAAAGCAAGTTTTTTTTCAGATTGCATATTTTTAGATAAAACCTTCACGAGGTTATTTTCTAGACCCAATGCATTTGGGGAAACAAACTTTGTTCGAATAATACGCTAACACAAAAATTACAAAATTATTCAAAAAATCTTCCGGCGACCACATTACAGAATCGGTTCATGTCACGAAATATTGCAAACTCTGCATACTTTTCATGCAAATCTGTAACACAATCATACATTTCCCGGTTGGGTGCAAGGATTGAAGGCAAAGCCTTCTTGCGTTGATTGTTTATGGCTTTATCGAACGTGTCTTTGAAACAATCTACAGCATCTCCTCCACTCTATATTCTTGACGATGTGTCAGCCCGACTCCTCACTTCTAAAACCACCCCTCTCATCCTCAAAAGCAAACAAAAAACCGCGGACAGGTCGCAGCCGTCCGAGAAAAGTGTCGTGTGCTATTTTCGGACCAGGAGAAAAATGACGATATGAGCTAAAAATAGAAAACCCCTCCTTAATGGCCCACGGTTGTTTATTTTGAAAATGTCTATACGATCCAACTCGGTCTGAAAAAGGTGTGGATAATTTTATTCGCGATGAATAATTTCTGCCGCGAACCGAGTTTCCCGTTGTTGTGCTATACCCTCATACCTATACCTACATCGGAATAACACGAGTTGCAAATTACGTAAAAGCAATTTAAATGAGGCAGAAATGCGGTAATGCGGGGTTGTTTGTGTTGCTCCACACTCGGCTATAGAGAGGCAGAATATTACTGCATCGGTCAAGTGTCAGCAAATTAAACAGCAACACAAACCACTCGCATTCATCCTCGGTGTGGACAGGTTGACGAGGATGTTTTTTTTTCTTCAGTTTTTGCCGGTCGAGTGCGGTGCCATTTAAAAGTAGTAAAACTATGCAAAGGATGCTCTCGTTAGGGGAAGTATTGTCACTATTCCCGTCGTTATGCGAGAAATGTTGAACTTTATTGAAAAATAATTATTTGCTCAATGCTCTCAATGTAATCCCAGTACTGTTGACCTAGTTTGCACCTGTTGGTCGTTTACCTGTCATCATCGACGAGCAACAAGTTCGCCTCCGCAAAACGAGTGACACCGCTGCAAAGTTACTCATCACAGTAGGTCATTCCACAAGTCACATACTTTTGACCACATTTTTGCACCAATAAACATTTTTCCGAGCGTAACCAAAGTAAAAAAAAGCAGCTATCGACTGCATCTCTTCAACCTCAGGTGCGCGAACGTACATGTGCAAATCATCACCAAAGTCACGGAAAGGATAAACGATTTCTAAGCTCGTTCGTTCATTCGTTCAAAGTTGCTAGCACCTCCAATTAATTAGCTGTATTCAATTTAAATTCCATTGCCCGAGACAAATGCTACCTGGCTTGACTCGGTGGACTGTTCGGAGAAAAATGGGGTCCTATTTATAAATGATAGATTTCCCGTTATTTTGCGCCATCCAATCGCTCATCACTCATCCAAGTGTGCCAATGCAAATGTCCTCCCGGTGTGATCGGGACGGGAGCTGGATCCAAGTGTGCCAAATTTTAAACAAAATTCAAATAGTTTGCCATGCTCCGCCATTTTTAATAACAAGCTTCCCGCTTGCTTTTCCAACGGATCGCCGTCGGAATAGCACCCGTTTGGATGCCGCCAAGGGAGAGTAAAAATAATTTTTCACACCGCGCGTTGATGGAAGCGAATATCTGACGCTGAGTTGAGGGAGGGACTACTTTGAAAGTGGAAAACATTGGTATCTATCTTTCCTACCTGTTTAATTTATCGCCATGATGGTTAGCACACGGCACACAGCAGCGTGGTTGATGTGGATCTTTCAAATCGAGAACGAGTGCTTGGAGATAGTAGGAAAAAAATATTCATCAATACTTTCCTCCGCCCACAACCGCAATTATCGGAAAAATGTGTTTGTATACGCTATAAATACCGAAATGATGTGATAATTGACATATTGGTTGTATTTTGTTCTACTGATTTTGCGTCTGGATAAGAATATGTTTAGCAAAATTTCTTAAAGTTAAGGCTTTAAGCAATACTAACATTTAAAACTAACAAAAATGACACTGCAACACGCAGTTTTAAAGACCTACCCGAAGTGTACCTCCTTACCATCATTGTATCGATTCTGACACCGGGTTGACAGTGAATGGCCCGCCGCAAAATTTTAAAATCCAGATCCTTGTAAATTTTTCTAAGCCCCAAACTCTTGAACATTTTTCAAACCTGACATCTAAAATATTTCTCTTTTATTTTTGTAAAGTTTAAAGTCCCAGAAACTTTAAATTTTGTTGTTTGCCCAAGATAAATGTTTTTCAAAAACATTGGATTCCTATTTTAAAATACATTTTTTTTTAATCGAAGCAAATACACCCCAAGTAGCGAAAAAATAAACGAATTTCACATTTTATCGCTCATAATTCCACAAAACTTCGCATAATAGGGTGTCGTTTCAATGATGACAAATTAATTCCTTAATATTCCTTGATTTTCCAACCGTTTCCTGAAAAAACAGTGTAGAAGTGATAGTAATAAAGGAAGTCCAAAAATCACGTGAATCTACACTCAAAATAATCTACACGTTGAAGCTACGTGAAAAATCACGTAAGCTCTCAATTTTTCCTCTCCTCTAAATTTTACGTGACTCACGTAGAATGTATGTGATGTCCCTAGAATTTCACATGGAGTTCCTTTTTAACACACCTACATAATCAATGAAATGTACGTGATTTTCCCATAACACTGAGTCTATGTTCATTTCACGTAAAGCTTATGTGATTTCAACATCTAAAAAAAAGAGTGGTACGTACACTCAGAGCGCTGCAAATCATGGCAGCACCATGATGTGCTTTTGTTCGGTATTCGGTAGTGGCAAGATGTAAGTATAACTATATGGATTATTTTATTCTATTTAACAAAAACAAACTGTCTGTTTCATTGTGCTCAACAGAATGATGTCAAGCTGTCCATCAGTTTCTTCCTCTAAGGAAAAAAATATCTCGGCTCATCTCTATGATCGTCCAGATTGTTTGTGCTGTGTATCGAATGAATATTTAAAAAATCAATGTGGTCTATTAAGAATATTTGAATAAATTAAAGAAATATTATTAAATTATACAATTATGAATACAGCAAAGATTGTATCTACATATTAAAGAAATATTTGTACAAACAGTGTCAAAATATTGATACTAGAATCCTCCAATGAATGTCACAAACCAAATCACGTAGCTTCTATAATCCTGTGACGGATAAGCTTCATGAAATGAGTGCCACTACATGAGAATCACGTAGCTCTTATGTGAAAAAAACGATGGAAAAAATCTAGATACGTATGTTTTCACGTAGCAATTACGTGAAAATTTTTCTGAGTGTACAGTTTTTCTACTGTGCATTACTGTAAAATTATAACTTTATGGTTGGATTACTAAGTAAATTATAAAACTCGTCATTTCAGGGCCCGAGGAAAACAACCCGCGATACCCGTTAGAGATGTCTTGGTGAGCCGAGATCTCGAATATTTGAATTTAATTTATGTGTTTTTAAAACGGATAGATCTGAGGATTTAGTAGTTAGTGTCATCTTTTTTTTTTTTTTTTTTTCCTTTGTGTTCCCGTAAGTCGGAACAAACACCGTTCTTTTCAGTTGCTGACTTAGCAGCTTTAAAGCTGTAATTTATTAAATTATATAATTAGGATCAAATTCAAGGTAAGTAAATTAATCTAATCTTACATTTTCGGTATTATTCTTCCTTTTATCTCCTGATCTTCGGTTAACCTAGGAAGGACGAGTCCAAAATAATCTACAGGCAAGTACAAATCAATTAAGGTCCATTTTAGGTTAACAATTGAATGACAATAGGGTAAGTATTAATTTTCAGGTAACATACCTCGTAATCATTAATTTTCCACTCACTGCGTGGCACTATTATAGCGGACTTTTAATAATTAGCGATCTGTATAAAAAATCTATTAATAATCAATTACTTATAACTAATAAACTCACTTAAAACCTACGGATATTCAATTCACTTAACTAAATTTACAAAGAACTTATGCAGAAGTGCAAAACAATTCAAAGCTGCTCACTATTCGATGTCTATGTATTGTTTACTACCTCTGTCATTCCGTTCACTTTATCCGGCATTGGCGTTTCGCTCGCGAGGGTTCGGTCAGTTGGTTCACCAACAACTCGCCGCAACGAGGGGTATCGGCGACATTCCCCGACCCGTGAACCACTTCCGTATCCGCAGCGACTTTTTCTGTCCTCTTGTCGTTGCACTTAACGTCCAGAACTGCTAGCTTCACCGCAGGTCTAGCGAACACTCCCCTAGCTGTCTGCACCGTAGCACGCCTCACCTGCCCGGATTTGTCCGGAAAGGTCTCCAAAATACGTCCACGCTCCCATCGATTCCTCGAATGCTCGTCGACTATCACGACTAGATCGCCAGGTTCCAGCGGCTTTACCGCCTCGAACCATTTCGTTCGCCTCGTTAGCATCGGGAGATATTCCCGCACCCATCTGCGCCAGAATTCATCCACGATGTGCTGCGCAAGCTTCCAGCTGTCTCGCAGGATGTTTCCGTTTACAGGATCGGTTGCTGGTTGCTTGATGCCGGTTGATCCGTACAGCAGAAAGTGGTTTGGCGTGAGTGCCTCTTCGTCTGGTGCTTCCAAGGGAACGTAGGTCAGTGGACGGGAGTTGACAATAGCTTCCGCATCCAACATAATCGTCTCCAACACCTCGTCGCTCGGATGTCGTGGACTATCCAGAATAGCCTTCATCGCCACCTTCACGGACTTGACCATACGCTCCCATGGTCCTCCCATGTGCGGAGCTGCCGGAACGTTGAAATGCCACTTGGTATTTGCATTGGTGAATGTGGCGGCGCAGTCCTCGATGATGTTCTGGATCCTCTGTTTCTCCTCTGATAACTGGCGATTGGCACCAACAAAGTTTGTGCCATTGTCCGAAAATACCTCCAACGGTGCTCCCCGTCTGGCTACAAATCTCCTGAACGCCATAACGCAGGCGATCGATAAAAGACTGTGGACCAGCTCTAGGTGGACAGCCCGTATAGTGAGACAGGTGAATAGACAGATCCACCTTTTCACCACGCTGCGACCCACTTTGACTTCGAAAGGCCCCATGTAATCCACGCCGACGTACGTGAACGGCCGAATAAATGGTGTTAGGCGTACCCTCGGCAGTGGCCCCATCAGTGGTGGCACAGGAACTGCTTTCTTGACCTTGCAGTGCTGACAACTTCGGCTAACTTTTCGTACCAGCACCCGAAGGTTGGGTATGTAGAACTCCTGCCGTAGTTCATTACAGACTGTTTCTCCGTTGGCGTGCAGGAACCGTTGGTGAAAGGAATCCACCAAAAGGAAAGTGATACGATGATCTCTTGGCAGCACAACGGGATGTTTCGCCGCGTATGGAATGTGCGGTGCGCATCCGATTCGACCTCCTACCCGAACGACCCCGTTTTCATCCAAAAATGGAACCAGCGAGTGCAGTGAACTTCGTTTTCCAACGCTGTGACCATTTGTTAGCTCGTGAACCTCCTCCGAATACGCCTGCGCTTGAGCCTGGCGCCAAAGTGTCTCCTTTGCTTTTACGAAATCATCTCGATCGAGGCCTTGCCGTCGACTTTCTCCGTACATAGTTTGCTTCCAGATCCTTACCGCACGGTGAACGTTGGCCATCGTTCGGACTAGACGACTCCATCTCGAAAAGCGTTCAACGACAACTACCTCGTCAGCCGTTTGATGTACGGCTACCATACGAAGTTCTTCACTTGCCGCATCCGTTTCGGCCACTAATACTGCTGATTCTCTTGGCCACTGCTCTTTTGTATCTCGTAGGAATGGTGGGCCTTGAAACCAACGGTTATCTGGATCGAACGATGGCCCCGAATTCCACTTGGTGGCATCGTCAGCCACGTTGAGCTTTGAGGGTACGTAATGCCATTCATCCACATTCGTGAGCGAAAGAATTTCACCAACCCGAAAAGATACGAACTGATGGTATCGGCGGCTGTCCGATCGAAGCCACGCCAGAACAGTAGCTGAGTCCGTTCATAGAAAACGCTTCCGAATGTTGAGAGTGAGCGCCGAACAAACGTTTTGCAGCAAACGTGATCCCATCATGGCAGCCTGAAGTTCCAGGCGAGGAATTGAGAGCGCTCGAAGTGGTGCGACTTTAGTCTTTGCTGCTACCAACGAACACCAGCTACCTCCGTTGACCGACAATCGCAAGTATACTACGCATGCACATGCTGTGACACTAGCATCCGTGAACACGTGGATTTCTATTTCGTCAACTTCCTTCGGCAGAAGATTCCCGAAAAAGCAACGAGGAACTTCCACTTCATTGATTGTCTCGTATAGTTCGATCCATCTATTCCATAGATCGTGTAGCTGCTCTTCTATGGGCTCGTCCCAGTTGGTACCCGTTCGCCAGATCTCTTGCATTAGGATTTTGCTTTGTACGACGAAGTGCGCAACGAATCCCAACGGATCGTACAGCTTCATCACGGTCCGTAGAACTTGCCTTTTCGTTGGAACCACCCCGTTGCTGCCCAAAACTTCCTTGAGCCCTGTCTGATCGAAGGTGAAATGATCCGCCGAAGGGACCCACACCACTCCTAAGACGCGTTCGTAGACTTCATCCTTATCTAGGTTCAGCGACTTGCAGGCTGACGATTCAGTCTCCCCTAGACGATCGAGCACATCCTGCGAGTTAGACAGGATTTTGCCGAATTCAAAGCCTGCTGCTGCGTGGATGAATTGCACTTGTTTGACAAGCTGTACTGCTTCCTCCACCGAGTTGACACTGTCGAGGAAGTCATCCACGTAGTGGTTCTTGATGATCGCGTCTACTGCTCTGGGATATAGTTCCGCGTAGTCGAGAGCGTTTTTGTTCTTAACGAACTGCGCCGTGCACGGAGAGCTGGTTGCCCCAAACATCGCTACATTGATTACGTAGACCTGCACTTCATCCTCTGGACTGCTACGCCATAAGAAGCACTGCGACCACTTGTCTGCCTCCCTAATCAGGATTCTCAGGAACATTTCGCGGATATCGGAGCACACCGCAATCTTGCCTTCCCTGAATCGTAGCAAAACTTCCACGAGTGATACGAGAAGATCCGGACCCTTTAGCAGCATGTCGTTGAATGAAACACCACCGACCTTTGCAGCAGCATCCCACACCATTCTGATTTTGTTCGGTTTCTTGGGGTTCGTTACCACCCCTAACGGAAGGAACCAGACTCGCTCAGGGTTCGTTTTCTCCAGCTCTTCGGACGACACCTTACAGACGTACTGCTTCTGTTCGTAGCTCTCGATTTGCTCGTTCACTCTTCTGCGCAGCTCTGGATCTTTTGCCAACCGTTTCTCCAAACCTCTCAACCTGCTTACCGCCATTTGAAAGCTATCCGGGAAGTTTACGTTGTTTTTACGCCAGAGCAAACCCGCCTCCATACGAGTTCCTCTCCGTACCGTTGTTGCTTCTAGGATGCTGCGTGCTCGTTTGTCCTCCTCGGATTCAAGCTGCTTCGTCACAACGGCGTCCTCAACGGCGAAGAACTTTCGCATTGAATCGTGTAGATTGCTGTTACTCATCTCCTCGCAGGCATGGACGTTCAGCTGTTCAATTGAACCTTCGCTTCCGTTGTTTCTCCCATACACGCACCATCCCAATCGTGTTTTGGTTGCTACTGGTTCGCTGCTATTGCCTTCACGATTCTTCAGACTAGTCAGCAACCGTACGTGCTCAAGACCGATGATCATGCCCGGTTTGGCGTTGACATAGCTGGCCACGGGAAGCCCCTGCAAATGCGGGAATGTATTTGACAGCTCTGTGTAGTGCAACGTTTGACTTGGAAGTCCTAGCTCGTGTACTGTTCGTACGTTGCTCAGTTGAAAAGTTTCCTTCTTCCCAGCACCGGATATCTTCACGCTCAACCTCTTCGATGTCTTTTCGTGTCTACTGATCTTTCCGGTCCAACTCAGCCACAGGTTGTCTGGTTCACCTTCGATACCTAACTGTGCTGCGATTCCTTCTTCTAGCAACGTCGATGACGATCCATCATCCAGGAACACGAAAGTTTCGACTTGCTTCCCATCCCCGTATAGCGTAACTGGCAGATAACGGAACAGAGAGAACGATTTCGTGTGGTGATGATTATGGTGAACAGTCTCGCCTGACTTTGCGCCGTCGGCAGCATCGTTGCGACTACTGTGCAGCAGCATATGGTGTCGAAAACGGCATGCATCCACCCCACATTCCTTTTTTGAGCGACACGGCCACTTACGATGCGGTATCAAGCACAATCGGCACAAGTTCTTCTGCCGCATTGCCTTCCACCGGCCTCCGATGTCCAACGACTTGAAACTGAAACAGTTCAGGATCTGATGGCCGTCTTTCTCGCAGTAGGAACACGCTTTTGACGTACGTTCTCCTTCTGGACTCTCCTTCTTCAATACACTTGGCGGCTCATTCGCGTGGGTGAACAGCTTCTCCTTTTGCTTCGTCTTTTCCACCCTAGGCTGTTTTTGGTAGTTTTGGGCAGAGTCCACTCCAATGCTCAGTTCGGAAGCTAGATTCACCAGTCCCGACATGAAGTTGTTAAACGTCGCCAGGTTGACGTGAACGAACGCCTGCTTGAAGGATCCCCACTGCATCTTCAGCGAGGTGGGTAATTTATCGATCAACTCCTGTAGCAGCATCGGATTCGATAAATGCGCTTGCTGATCTGTCAGAATAATGTGATCGACGAGATTCTGAATAACAAAGCCGTAAGTGACAATGGTGCTCAAGTTATCCGACTTCGGTGGCGGAGCGTTCCTCACCTTCTTCAGAAGAGAACTTATCAGTATCTCTGGCCTTCCGTAGAGCTTATGCAACGTTTCCATCACGTACGGAACAGATGCGGGTAGGAGCAGACGACTTCTAACTGCCTCCAATGCTGAACTTCCCAAACTGCGCTGCAGTCTGGCTAGATTCTCGGCGTCCGTGTATCCGCAGACCTCCGTCGTGTTCTTGAACGAACTATAGAAGATAGGCCACTCCTCCGGATCCCCTCCGAACTTGGGTAGCTCTCGTGGCATTACCTGCCGAGCTGCCAATTGGGCACTAGTTGGTCCTGTCGAATTGACTGAATGATTGATCCTAGTCCCGTCGATTCCCAGCGATGTTGGTACTACTGACGGTGTTACTTCCGACCTCGTTACTGGAAATGCAATACTTGTTGCTGGATACGGAAACGATACTGAATTCCCGGGGAAAACACCAGGATTGCTTGGAATTCCCGGAAACAAACTAGCAGTAGTTGAAGTAGGAAGCAACGGTGGATATCCGGGTGAAAACTGGAACATGGGGATGTTCTGAGGCATAACATCTCTGATCACGTCTGTTTCTAATGAATTTTACTATTCTAAAACCACTATCGCAATTATTATAATTATGATAGTGTTTTTAGAATAGTATAATACATAGGAAACAATGATTTTCCAAGAATACGTGCAAAGGAGCAAAATATTAGTAAAAGTTTACTTGTTTCCAAGCAAATATTAAACATTTAATTGAATATGTAAATCCACCATTAGTCGAGCAAAAGCCCCATACCGCAGCTATAGAAACTATACATTGTAGCTGAAAGATTTTGAACCCATGCTACACGGATCATGTTGTTCGTAATAATCTTTAAATTTTGTTGTTATATTATTTGGTATGGCATTACAACCAATAACTCAATGAAGAAAGCCCCTGATTTTCCAGTAATTAAAAAAAAAAAATCAGGTGCACTGCCTACCTGTTTTTGGCAACACGACCCCATCAGCTTTTAATTTCCTCAGAAATTTACTGGTGCTTTCTGGAAATTGTTTCATTAAATACCACATGAACGTCTAACACATGAAGAATGGTCCAGTACCATCTCAAATTGAATAAAGCATTCGATACATTTTATAGAATGCAAAAAAAAAGCATAAATCGTGTGTTGCCAAAAACGGAAAGGCACCGCATTTTACTAAATTCACAAATTTTAAACTTGGTAAGCGTCAGGTAATCAGTTTAAGCAGTAATCGCGATGTTACTATCACAGACAAACAGACGTAACTCTTTGAATAAAATTATCTTCAAAACATAGTACCGCCAAACATAGGACTGCAGTAAAGACATCTCGTGGGCTTCTCGCGGAAAACAAGCTTGCTCGCTGATTCGCAAACAATGTTGCATGCAAGAAAAACCGAATACATAGAAACGTCAAAGTGATCCGATGCCAGCGCTGCGGCGAGTAGTTCGCGAAAAGGATAAAAATTTAAACCAATCGTTAAATGCGCAAACGATGATCCAGAAGGAAGAGCTACGTCTGTTTGTCTGTGTTACTATGATGATTGACGCTATGTATCTGGCCACCACTTAGTGCCTGTGGAATTGATTAATGTTAACCGTGATTACCGATATTGTCACTACCGAAAACTCCAAACAACTGTTGCAATCATGTTGATTGCAAAAGAGGATGACCCTGAGGGTGACCTAGTTATTACTGTCGCTGGTGATTGAAAACTCTTGCAGGTAATTGGACGGAGTACTACTATCTGCAGGATGGATCCGAGCAAAGTCTTTGAATTCTAATCCGGCATCTGATCGTCTAGTCCAATGGATATGATAATTTCATCCTAATCAAAGCCAAGATTAACGACTGTCAATAAAGTGCGAAATCTACGAACTTTTCAGTCTCGGAGCAGTTAGTATTGCATGACATGTTGACTTTTCCGAAGATGGGAGAGCTTAATATCATGCCGCAGACCTGCATGGGAGAACAAGACAGTGGCCTGGGCAACAGTTGTACGTGGCATGAAGATGGGTAATTATGGTGTTTTGTATCATTCTCCCAGTTCTAGTGACCAGCGTTTTGTTGAAGTTTTAGAGAACTGGCTTGAGACATTCCTTGATTCTAGTAAATTAAATATATTGGCTGGTGATTTTAATATTAATTGGCGTGATAACCATAATTCGAATCATTTGAAGCGTTTAGCTGAGTTTTTTAATTTAAAGCAAACGGTTAATGAATATACGCGTATTTCCAGGCACAGTAGAATTTTAATTGACCACGTTTATTCCAATTTTGATTCCATTTGTTCAGTTACGGATACTGATTTGAAAATAACCGATCATGAGACTTTAGTGATTAATGTCTTAGACCATGTTAACGATAACGATAATTTTGTAAAATTGAAGTGCTGGAGGAAATATTCGAAGCAAGCTGTTTCAAACCTTGTTGAGAGGAGCGTGGATTTTCCAATCGCAGCCGGCAACTTAGATGAATCTAAAGCTGTTCTAACGCTTTAAAAGCGTTTACTAATCAACTAGTTGAGCAAAAGTTTGTTTCTTTGAAGAACTTGAACAGCTGGTACAATTTGGATCTTTTGCGTCTTAAACGGAAAAGGGATCAATGGTACAAAAAGTTTTGTAGATCTAATAATGACAATCATTGGACTAGGTACACAATCGCGCGTAATAAGTATTCACAATCGATAAAGAAAACTCGTTGTGAATATGTTCAAAGGAAGATTGATCAGCATCAAAACAACAGCAAAGAGTTATGGAAAATTTTGAAATCTTTATTAAAACCTAGTAATTGCAAACCGCGGTCCATAACTTTTAATGGCACATTAGAACAGTCAGAACAAGTTATTTCAGCTAAGTTTAATGATTATTTTGTAGACAGTGTTTCATTGATTAATCAATCCATTGAATTGGTCGATGAACCTGACGAAATAAAACAGCCAGTTAATAGTAGTTGTAGATTTGAAGTTTTTCACCCAATCACATTAGATGAACTTAGAGTTATTTGTTTTTCATTAGGAAAATCGGCTGGAGTAGATAATGTTAATGCTAGAGTTATTCAAGATTGCTTTCATGTCATTGGCCACATCTTGCTGGACCTTATTAATGAATTATTACAAACTGGACATGTGCCACAAATTTGGAAGGAATCCTTAGTGGTCCCTATTCAAAAAGTTGCTGGAACGATTAAAGCCGAAGAGTTTCGTCCCATCAACATGTTGCACACATTAGAGAAAATTTTAGAACTTGTTGTAAAAGGCCAGATGTTAGAATATTTAAATAGTAACTGTTTGTTGATACCGGAACAATCGGAATACCGGGAGGGCCATTCTTGTGAAACAAGAATGTTGCTGTTTGTTGCTGTTTTTTTGGATCTTAAACGCGCTTTTGAAACAATTTCTAGGCCCTTATTGTTAAGATCAATCAAGCGCTTTGGAATTACGAGTACTGCATATAAATGGTTTGAAAGCTATTTGTCTGACAGAAATCAACGGACTGTTTTTAATGATTCTGTTTCCAGTCCCGTGGGGAATAACCTTGGAGTGCCCCAGGGAAGTGTATTAGGGCCCCTGTTATTTATTATGTATATTAATGACTTGCGACGTGTTTTACGATTTTGCAACATTAATCTTTTTGCAGATGATACTGTGTTATTCATTGCAGCTAAGGGCTTAGATGATGCCGTTTTACACCTGAATGAAGATTTGCGTTCTCTAAGTAGATGGTTGAAGTATAAGCAGTTAAAATTGAATACAAGTAAAACTGAATTTATGGTAATTTCGCGGAATCGAGTAAATGAGAACGTATCTGTTGTAATTGATGATGAGACTATTGATCGCGTTCGTGAGATTAAATATCTTGGCGTGATTATTGATGACACACTTAAGTTCAACTCTCACATTGACAATGTCATCAAGAAAATTGCCAAGAAGTATGGAATTCTATGTCGACTGAAAAACGATTTAACTTTTGCCAGTAAAATACAGCTATACAAATCAATCATCTCTCCACATCTTGACTTTTGCCCTTCCATTTTATTTCTGGCCAATGCAACACAAATATCGAGATTACAGCGTTTGCAGAATAAAATAATGCGTTTGATTTTGAGATGTAATAGATTCACTTCCTCAACTTTGATGCTAGACGCCTTACAATGGTTGTCGGTGAAGCAAAGAATTGTATATTTGACTATGGTGTTCATTTTTAAAGTAGTAAACGGTTTGCTGCCTCGATATTTGTGTGATCGAATTGAAAGAGGAAGTGACTTTCATAGATATAATACTAGAAACGCGGTTGAAATAAGAACACCACATTTCTTGACTTGTGCTTCACAAAATTCATTATATTATAAAGGAATAAATGTTTTCAATTTGATGCCTAGACATAGCAAACGTTCAGCAACACTTACAGAATTTAAAAGACACTGCATTTCACACGTTAAAACTGTCTTTTGAACAGTTATCCAGTGATTTTTTTTATGAATTGACAAATTGTGTATCTTGACGAAGTTATCTCTAACGGATTATTTTATATGCATAGCTGTCATAACGACTTTTTAATAATTATTGTAGCACTGAAAAAACTATTTCTGTTCGCCACGAGGGTGATGATGTCAAATGTCTTAGGGAAAGCCGGAGTCTACAAAATCTCTTGTCCCGATTGCAATAAAATCTACATTGGTCAGACGAAAAGGTCTTTGGAAACAAGGTTTAAGGAACACATCGCAGAGGTAAAAAAGGCTAACAAAGAGATGGATAAAGGACTTCATTATGCATTTAAATCCAAGGTTGCAGAACATATCTTCACAAAGGAGCAAAATTTGACAAATGATAACATTAATATCCTGCGGAGTGTATCTTCGCCTTGGAAACTAGACGTAGCAGAAAGCTTAGAAATACTTTAAAATAGACCATCAACATTGCTTAATGGAGATCAAGGAAACGGATACTCGAGACTCTTTAGCATGCTACCTAAATAGTTATTAATTGTTTAAGAGATTGATAATCTTATGGCATGATCAAGCAGCTGTTCTGTGGGCAACACTGTATTCTGCAGTGTGACTTAGTAGCCATGATATTTGTGCTCTATTCTTCGCACCAGAAACACCAATGTTGCCTGCTGAACAGTTGAATGAGCATAATCATAAGACATTAGTGACTTGAATCATTAATAACTTTTGTTCCTTACATTTGATTGAAAAGTAGTTATTAACAAAGTTGTAGCTGAGAAAATTTGCTACAATCACTGCTATCATTTT